CGCACGTACAAAAATCCTGTGATTGGTTATAATAAAAACATGTCGGATGCGCAGTACGGATCGGCGCGAACGTGAAACAAAAGAGCGAGTGGGCATACTGGTTATACTGTGTTTCGATATTATCACCTGGTCTTTTCTCTCTCATGAATGTCGACCCCTTGAATTCGAATGGGCGCCACGATAATCTTTCTCAGGGTGCCAGTGTCGCTGAAACCGGCACTGACCGTGGTTCAAAGGTACATACACCTGCGTATCGCAATTCATCGTCGTGCGTTGCAATTAGAAGCAAAAGTTCCATTCATTGAACTATAACCATACTGGAAGGAGCACTCCATTGTTGTCGTGCGGTCAGAGTTGTGCGAGAGAGATAGTTGAGTGGGAATGGAGCTATTCTTGTCTAACTAACTATAGCGATCTTCGCTGTAGTTAGTTAGACAAGAATAGCTCCATTCCCACTCAACTATCTCTCTCTGACCGCTCGATCCTATGGAGGGGGTAGGCAGTGCTCCTTCCAGTATGGTTATAGTTCAATGGTTCCATTCACCAGTGACGTAACGAGACGAACTGCACCCCGAGCTCCCCCCCTTTCTCCAGCGGCCAATTGGTCGGCCAATCATTGAAGGAGAAGGCGTGGCGAGGAGGTGTACTTCCACTCACTCCGTTCCGAGTGCGGGACGAATACTTTTGCTCCCGATTGTACGTATGGTTCGTGCGATCGTGCGAGCGCGTACTGTACGCGCGCTCACACATAAATCATGAACGCGTTACATCAGTGGCGACGACGGTAACGAAGGTTAGGTGAGCCGTCAGTGTGGAACGTGGCGCGCGAGTCGTGGCGCGTCGTACGGCCGAGGAGGAAGGAATCCCGCACCGTCTCGCGAGCGCGTGTGTCGCCTCTTCTCGACGTGTCGCCCTCGTCCCCCGTCGCTCGAGCGCGCGATTCCGCGCGCCGCACCTGCGACAACGAGGAACCCAGTCCCCCGCGACGAGTCTTGACGCGACGGTGGAGCTGGTCAGCCTCCTCCCCCCTCCTCTCTCTCTGTCACTCACTCCTCCTTCCACGAGGAATTACCAAAATGGTGGCGCGGTACAACGCGGGTGATGTGTAGGCAGATATCGGCTCGCATCGCGTTCGTTTCAGGGAGGTGCGAGGTACGCGAGCGTGACTACGCGAGGCCGACGGCGACAGCATGGGCGACCCGAAGAGCCAGCACGGCGCGCAGGAGATGAAAGGCTGGCTTTTCAAATGGACGAACTACCTGAAAGGTTACCAACGGCGATGGTTCGTCCTGTCAAACGGCCTCCTGTCGTACTACAGGTAGTTCCCTACGTGTCGTCGGAACCGCCGACGTCGACCGACGTCGAGGCCGCGCGCACCCCTCGCGCGACGTCGCGATCTACGTGTCGCGGGACTTTCTTAACGGCGCGCGATCGATCTCTCGACGTCGCCGTCGCCGTCGTCGTCGTTGCCGCGCCGAGATCGCGAGATCCCCCGACGGCGGTCAACACCCGGAGAGCGGGACAAAAGGGAGAACCTGAGCGTCAAGGTGCGACACGGAGCTGCTCTCTGTCGCGCATCGCGATTAGGTTATGTGCGCGGTGACAGAACTCTTTTTCGATCGCTCCCGGTCAGAAATAGCCTGGCCAACAGCTGTCACATGTATTCGCGGTATCGTCTACGCGCCGGGGACGTTCGCGTCGCCGAAGCCTCCAGACGATACCGCGGGATTGACGCGCTCTACGCGAACGGTTTGCGCGCGACGTTAATTCGGGCGCGATATATCTGTCAGGCTCTGCGCCGTAACCGTTAAAGAGATAAGAGTACAGAGAGATAGAGAGAGGGAAAGCGAGCGGGGCCTCGGGCGCCTCGCTCTTCTTATCCGCGTGTTCGGCCCGACCGACGCCCTGCGGGGAGCAGCTCCCCTGTTACTCCTTCCCGGGAGGTTCGCTCTCGTGTCCACCGCGTGACATTGTAGTCTTCAAGAGCTCGGCGCGATTAGCGAGGGAGAGAGAAAGTACTGGATATGAGAACGTACAGGTCGGCATTCATAGTCGGATCTTGTATTCGAGACCGTCTTGAATTTATCCAAGATGCTGTGCGGAGCGTTTCATTGGCTACGGAGTGTCTAAAGGTGGTCTCGAACGTAAGATCAGACTATGAATCGCGGTCTTAGGGCCGTATTTATAGTCGGATCTTGTATTCAAGACTGTCCTGAATTTATTTGAGATGCTGCGTGGAGCGTTTCATTGGCTACGGAGTGTCTGAAGGCTGGTTTATGCAAGGCCGTAACCGTTAACTTACGCCGGAGTCGGTAAAAATTAATCAATCACAGTCAATTATTCGCTTCACTTTTAACGGCGATTGGACAACTTTTACCGATTCCGGCATAAGTTAACAGTCACGGCCCTGCGTAAACCAGCCTTAAAGATAATCTTGAGACTGTCTCGAACGTAAGATCCGACTGTGAATCGCAGTCTTAGGGCCGTATTTATAGTCGGATCTTATATTCAAGACTGTCCTGAATTTATTTAAGATGCTGCGTGGAGCGTTTCATTGGCTACGGACTGTCTAAAGATGATCTTGAGGCGATCTTGAATGCAAGATCGGACTATGAATCCCGGCCTCAGACACCCTGGAGAGACAGAGCGCGTGTACGGCGATGGACAAACTATTTGCGATACTTTGCTTTTTAACGAAAGGAGAGTTTGCTTAGTGTCACCGGTAATGATTAAAAATTAAGGCGGGAAACTTGTAGTCGACCCAACTGGCTAGTTATTTAATTAGTTTATTACACACAGCGTTTCGACCCTGTTCTTTTGGGTCCTTTTCGAGTGATACGCAGTCAGTCGTGGGTTCGAGCCCAGCTACAACAGCGCTCACACGTGTACATTTTACAACTCGACTCTGTCTTATTCGACGACGATGACTGACTTAGTATCACTCGAAAAGAATAGGGTCGAAACGTTGTGTGCAATAAACTAATTAAATAACTGGCCGGTTGGGTTGACTATAAGTTTCCCGTCTTAACTTTTCTTTTTAACGAGTTTAGAAGCGTGCGCTTAGATCCAGGATTTACCCCCCAAACTCCTCTTCCCCGAGGAATACTTTACTCGACGGCCATTCCGAAACCATTTCGTTTCCGAGTGAAATTTTCCCGAGAAAATGGAAAATTTCGGCACGTAAATCTGAACCGTTCTGTCCATCGCTGTACATATAGTAGAGGATGGTGTCCTATTATGAGATGGGCTCCTAATACGAGACAGCGTGGTTTCTGTTAAACTGAATAGGTATATAATTTGTCGATTCCGCCGTATGTTCGCTGTCCTTGGAGTGGAATTTGTTCAGCGGGAAATTCATTGTTAGATCGCGCGTGTAATTGTCGCGGCAGAAGACCCGCGAAATTGGCAATGTCGACGAGCCGCTGTCTCGCAATAGGGGACTCTCCTTCTACGTAACACCCAGGTCTTTGCGATTCTCCCGTTTCTCCGTGCCGCAGTTTGCACCGTCTGGTTTCGCCCGGTAACGTCGAATTGGGGAACGCCGTTTACCGGAGTCGCACGACAGCGCTCGTCCCCGGCTTCAGCCTGCATTCGCGGCGCATTCGTCAGCGCTTGACGCCACGCGAGTATACGACGATTACATAAAAGCGTGACGAGACGGATGACTTCGCGGATCCGTCGCGAGATGCGCGGGGAATCTGCAGGAGGGATCCCCCCCCCCCCCCCGACAAGTTTCGAGGAGTCCGAGTCCCCCTGGAGACCGTACTCGGGCAGGAACGTGTCCTGGACTCGAGTGGGGATATCGCGTTTAAAGCCTCGTGTCCGCGACCCGAGAACCGTGTCCAAGTTCCGGTTCCGAGAAACGTGTGGCGAATCCACTTGCAGCTCTTCCGTAAAAGATGCAAGTTTATTGGCTGCGCGTTCCTCGGAACCAGAACTTGGACACGGTTCTTGGACGCGAGGCTCAAGGCCGGTATACATAGTCGGATCTTATATTCAAGACCGACTTGAATTTATCTAAAGATGCTGTGCGGAACACTTGATTGGCTACGGAGTATCTAAGGATGATCTTGAGACAGTCTTGAATATAAGATTTGGCTATGAATACTGGCCTAAAGGCCCGTGTCCACGATGCTGGAACTTGGTACGAGTTCTAGTTCCGAGAAATGTATAGCCGATCAACTTGCAGCTCTTCCGTAAAAGATGCAGGTCGATTGGCTACGCGTTTCTCGGAACCAGAGCTTGGACCAGGCTCCAGCTTCGTGGACACAGGGTTTAAGAGTCATTCGAGATTGCAATCGTTCCGAGCGCGAGGCATTCGCGTCGCGCGACTTTCTACGTGTTGTCCCGAGAGAGAATGTCATCTCTCGAAAACGATACGATCCCATTGCAGACCCTCGCATTCGACGAGGCAGGTCGGAGGGAGTTTACCACGTGTCTACACACAAAGAGAGAGAGAGACTCGCACCGGAGGAGAATCGCTCGTGGTGCTTCGCAGTCCGCGAACGACAACGTCCGTTCCCTAGCTGGGCAACTGTTGCGCGAATCTCGCTCTTGTAATTAATAGCGGAACGAAAGACTCGTTACGACACGAGCGCAAACAACAGTCTGTATCTCGCGGTCTCGTTATCTTCGCAAGTAGAACAGCGTTTCTCCGACGAACGATTGCGCACCCCGGCTTCCTAGGATATTTTCTTTCGTATTTTTTTTCTTTCTCTTCATCTTCAACAGCTCCGCTTGGCACAGTTTGTGTGATTTGAGTTTGCAATGCCTCTCCTCGTAGGAGG